AAAAGAAAAAAAAAAAAAAAAAAAAAAAAAAAAAGGGGCTGTATCCCACCCGGCAGACGGCAGTGCAGCTTCATGCTGCATGTGACCTAGAGGATCCCGTTGAACTCATATAAATATATTAAATATTTATATAATATGGTGAATAAGAATTTTTGTTATATTATTAGTTTACAATTCTAGTCCTTTTTTCTTATTTTTGTTTTGGAACAATTTTTTTTCCATTTGAATTTTCAAACAGAATTTTGAGTGTAATTGGTAAATAATTTATTTACCTAAAAATAAAGATTTGTTTGATGAGACTCGAGAGCAAGAGGACTATGGTTATTAATTATATTATATATGTATATTTTATATTACATTATTAACACCCCCAAAAAAGACAAAACAAAAATCAATAAAGATATTCTCTTTGAGACAAGATCTTCCACTAGTCTATATCACTTATAGTGCTCCTCCAATCATCGTAGTAGAGTGTAAATTCAAAAATATATATATACATTTCGACGATTTTAATTAAAAAAAAAAAACAATTTTGGATTAATATTTTGATTTTCAAATTTTCTGATTTTCTACGGAATTGAAATGATTAAAAAGTAATAATAATGAAGTGGGTAAAATGTATTAAATCCTTTTTTTTTTTTTTAAGAAGATATGATTTGATCGATTTTAAGCAATTACTTACATTTTATGTCATTTTTTTTACAGCTAAACTTAAATTAGCTGGTGGCAGATTTGGGTTTTAAATTATGAAAGCACATTTGCACGATATTTGAATTATAACCACATAATCATGTTTATTATAATATAGTAAAAGAAATCAGATCCACCAAATGCTCAACACGTCTTGTGATCAAACACTAAACATCAAATTAAAAAGATATTAATTCATAAGATTGATGTGTTTAGAGAGTGGAGAGGTTTATGGGGAAGCATTTAACCATGCGAATGTCGATATGCGAACTGGTTTATACTATTTCATATCGAGTGAAATTCATTGAGTAGATCTTTGCCGTTATGCATACACACACACATACACTAGATCGACGATAGAAATTGACTTTGTGCCCTTCAGCAGATGTAACATAGAAATAACCGGCAAAATAATAATAATAATAATAATAATAATAATAATAATTTTCATTTGATCAAGGCATCAATTGGTTAATTGTGTGACGAAATGTTTGCACTTTCATCATAAATCTCGTCCACATTACAGCCTGGATTTTTTTTTTTCTATTTTTGGAATTATATGTCAAAAGTTATAAAGTATTTATCCTCACTCTGTCACGTTTCGCACGTCAATTTTGGTGCTTTCTATTTAAAATTCAATTTTGATTACATCAATTTAATCTTTTTTTTTTTATTTTATTTGCAATTTATTTAATAATTTATAATTTATAGCGATAGATTTCGTCCTAGTTGAGCCACAACTAGGCTCACGTATGGATCGTGCCTAATTAATTGAAAGTTCAAAATAAATTTATGGTACCAAATGTAATAAAAATACAACTAACAATAAAAATGAGATCTAGTCTAATTAATTTTTAAATAAAAAAACAACTAATTCAAATTAAAAATACTCCACAAAGAATTTATAAATACAGCATGAGATTTGGTTTTTTTTTTAGATTCAAGTAAATGTAATTGGTATTATTAAATACATACATGATACATGTTGAGAGGTGTTTGTAATAAAATTTTGATACACGTCCATACTTGAATCCTGGCCGTTGCTCTACAAGATTCTTCTTCCTCCCACAAATACCCGAGCAACGTTTTATTTCGAATTAGCACAACTCCTGTGTTAACATGGCTAAATGATCGTCAATACATTTTTTCCGATTCCTATTTTAAAAAAATATCAGAAACACTTGCTAAACAATCGATACAAAAGCATTTTCCACGAGGTTGGTTGAATATGCCAGCAACATATACTGTATATGTATATGTATATGTATATGTATATGTATATGCTGTATATGTATATCACCTCTTCTTATAAGACTACCGAAACGAAAATGTTAAATGGTAAAAAAATCATACCGAGTTTATTACGATCCTCCACAATTATATGCCGGCAGCCCTTAAATAGAAGCTTTGATGAGGAAACTTAAAACAATAGAGCTGTGTTCTTAGACGAGCCCCTGTCGAAATTATGTCTCCGAAAAACCACAGGCTACATATTTCCTGATTTCACACAAAAGGGTTGTCAAATAACAGTTGCCAATGTACGACATATTTATTATGAAAAGAAAAACGAATAATACAAAAAATTAGACTAACTACCTAAAAAAACAGCGAAAACTGCGTTTTACTAGAACTAATTTCCTATTGGTTTTTCATTGGAGGAAAATTGAGTCGGACTGCGCCTTGAGAAATCACATCACATTAAATAAATACAAACCTTTGTAGCTTTGACCGTAGATACTTCAAGGAAAGACGGAAAAGCATGGCGTCGATAAAAGTTTACACCTTCGTATCCCTGTGCACAAAATCGAAAAACTAGAAAAAAAATTAGGACAAAATCCCCACTAATTACAAGAATCGTCAAAATATAAACACGGCACAAACATTTACCTGATTCATAGGGTAGCTCTCGACTTCATAAGCATAAAGAAAAACCCCAAAGAGAAGTGAATCGTGAATATAGCAAATAGCAGAAGTTTTTTTTAATTTTTTAACTACGTGACTGAAGCTGGATCGAGACTGTTTCTATTCGACACAATCTTCAATGTCGTTCCTTTCTTAATACAGGCAGTGAGTTGTGGTTGATTTTCGAAAGGCTTAAGAGAATGTTGACTGCCATCTTCCAATTCCACACCGTAAACAAAAGGGAGTCTTAGAGAGAGAAAACTCTCCGGTGGAAGAATCACCGGACAACCCAAGCTGAATTGCAGCTTTTTTTCACGATCGAGAATGTTGGGATGTAGACATGACGGCTGCAATGAAGGATGAATTTGTCAAGAAAAAGAACAGAGCTTCCGTAAAAAAAATGAAGGTTCTAAAATTTGCATGATTCTTTAACAATATTTAGGCGAAAGCACAGCATACGAGACTACAAATCCATGTAAAGACAGGATCAACACATCAAAAGGAGTCGAGTTTTATAAATAATGACTTCAATAAAAGAGTAATCTTTCGTATTTTTTGCCATCTTTGAATCTTTAAAAGATCAAGAAACCATATACTAAGAGATAAGTCAAGTAGATAATTGAAACAGATAGTAAAATTAATAGGATGCCAGTAAGTTTAGTAGCTATAGATATAGGCAAGTCATGTAACCGTACGTACCTCAAATTGGACTATCGGGTCTGCAGACAACATGATAGGAAATGAAGGCGTAACCTACACATCCAAAATATAATTCAGTACACCGTATCCAATCAAAACATAATTTCAGTTGGTTTTAAGGCATTTAGACATTCAAGAAGTGACAGCGAAAAAATGGATGACATAAATAAATAAATAAATCGTATGGCCTAGATACCGTTGTAATCTTTCATTCTAGTTATTTATCATTCATCATTTGTAAGCATTATTATATAATTTAACGTGGTGGAGGAATAGATGTATACCACAAAGATCCTCTGCAGCTGTGAAATTGTGCCGGCGAATTTAGTATTAGATGCACCATTCTTGGTCACGGAGTTCCTACAATGTGGACAGTTCATATATATCGGCAAATTTCTGGACAGTAACGAGAAAGCAAAACCACCATCGTCAACAGTAGTAGGTTTTTGCTCAGGATCAATTTCCTTCCCATGCCTGCTTGATTGCATAAATTTATTCGTGTTTCCATTGGCCGCTTTCTCTTTCGACCTGTCCAGGTTTTTGCCGCCACCCATAATTATCCCATTCGATTGCCGCCTGGTTCTACCATGGTCGCCAAATTTACCCAATTTTGCGAGATCTTGTTTTTTGTCGAAATTCTCCGCTGGAAAAGGTACAGAATTCTCTTCGGGAACTGAGTAAGAAGAACCAAGTTCATTAAGATGATCCGGAGTTAATATGAATCTGTGGCCATGCGGACACTCATATTCAAATCCCACGTATATCACTACACTCTTCACTGAATTGGCAGCCTTAACATGTTCATCACCGTTCATGCTCATAAGAAATTCTTTGCTGCCAATAGGTGGAAAATCGTCGCCAGATTTGTTGCCATTATTCACTGCTTCGTCAGTTAAGGCAATATCTTCACCAAATTTGTCCACAGCTTTACTACGTGCATGTAGTTTAAAACCCTTTTCAGTATCTTGTATAGGTTGTTTTCGAGATAAGAGTGGAGGAAAACCCGAGTTAACAGCAGCGGGTCCGGCAACAACTTCAGAAAACGGTTTTCTCATTGTAAAATTAGGTAACCCTTTACCTAAACTTACATTTTTATTACTGTTCCCATTTGTATCCGAAGAGAGCTTTATTTGTATCTTAGGTCCATTCTGTAAAGCATCAATCTTACTGTCCGTATTTACAGTATTTTCAATAACCCCAATGTTTCTTCTATTTAACAAATGTATAGATTCATTTGGCTCATCAAGAAATACGGTCCACTTAAGAAGAAACTTCTGAGTTGCACAAAATCCACTCTGGAGCAAACCCTTTGAAGGGTCATAGTACCTTGCACCTCCAACACGGATCAAATTCCACGACGAAGGTTGAACGGGTCCCACGGTGCTTCCATGTGGCAATTTCACAGCAGGAAGTAGCTTATCACAATCAGCAAGATTATTACACGCGACATTTGCTGTTTCATAGTCAAACGGGTCTGGTCTGAGTTGCCTCGAACGGCCACACGCACAAGCATGGAGGTATACGAATCCGCTCGAATGAGATTTTATCTCAATGTCATGCCTTTGATGCATGCAAGGTTTTCCAGTCAGACTAACAGCATCACACAGTTGCCTTTCGGACAGCCAGATCGAAGTGCATTCATCCTTCAGTTTTTTCACATAAATTTGCAGCGCGGGTCCCTTCGCCGATGAGGTAAGGGTGTGTAAAGCTTTCCTTAAATGGTCTTCATGTTGAGAACTTGGATAGCAAGGAGGGAGACCGTCTAAATACACCTCCTTCGCAATCGGAAACGCTTTTTCACACCACGAGGTTGAAAATCTAGTGTTTAATCCAATACCATTTTCGAGATGAGATACCGCATATTCAAAGTTTTCTCCTGATTGTGAAATAATATCCTGTTCGTTTTCATGTGAACGTTTTGAAGAAAGAATTCCATGAAGAATTAGCTGAGAAGTAGAAGCCCAGCTACCCACAGTTGGGAGTTCAGGGACAGTCGTCATCTTTCCGGAGGCAGCTGAGGTGGAAGCGGCAGCGGCAGCGGCAGCAGCGGCCACCATGCCAACGCCGGCGGCAACCACCCCGCCTCTCCCTCTGATAAGATCACACTGCCTATAGATGAACTCCTTCACAGATAAAACATCCTCTTTCTTCGTATTTTGCTGATGGCTTTCGAGCAAAAGAGAATCTGGGGTCGCTTTCCCATCCAATACTTCTCGCACAAGACCAATGGCGAATTCAAGAGATTCACCACTCTGAATCGAACAAGCATCTATGAGCAAAACAGCTTTTGATGAATCAAGAGAAAAAAGAGGGGGGGCACCCCTCGATCCAGAATGGCTGCTGCTCTCAAAAACCGAAAGCGTTCGGCATTTCTTTATAGAGAAACGAATTTGCGCCTCGAGGGATGATTGCAATTTCTTCCTCGGTGAAGTTTCGGGTTTGTTCACAGGCCGTGCAAGCACAACGACCGAACCAGATCCTTTTGTATTTAATGAAGAGGCCTCTGTAGAATCTTCCATCTTAATCTCGGTGAAATCGTCTAGAAAAACGAAGAGTACAACCGGTGTGCATTGACCAGGTAACAAAGAGGTGTAGGAAGAGCCTACACCCGACATTGTCTTAATTGATGAAGCAGTGTTGCGATTCAGAATCGCTCGGCTTTTACCAGGAGAAGGGTTGTTGTGTGAAGTTTGTGAATGAGCTGAAGATGGTGGCCTTGATGTGACAGGTGGCGGATTTTGTGATCTTGTGAATGGAGACATGGCGTGTTTAGCAGATTGCAATATACGGAACTTTTTCAAGATTTGCGTGTCGAATCTTGACCCCTCTTGAATTAGTAGAATGATGTGACAGACCTGCGTTGCTGAAGTAGGATCAAATGACTTACTACTTTGATAGATTCTAAAGAACTACTGATGGAAAAACAGGAAAATATAATTTTGGACAACTTTTGAATTAATTTGGCATTTAGTCCAACGTATCTAGTTGCTAGAACAACCCAACTAACTGCAATTTCTGAAAAAAACGAAGACATAGATCACTAATAACATAAATCCTCGGGTCAATGAAGTTCTGAATTTTCATTTAGTTTTTGAATAAACTTCCAAAATTTGGTTGCGCTTGCACTCTTTTTTCACTTGAATTTGCATTTAAAAGGCGTTACTGAAGTCGTCCTAATAAAGCACTAATAAAAATTTTGGACCGGAATATTTTATCGCAGAATTTACATCGCTATATCACCACGAGATAATATACACTAGAATTCAGAAATTGCATGCGAAAAACAAGGCTACTCAAAATTACAGAGAAACGTAGTTTATTTTCTTTCACGCAAGAAAGTTTCGAAGCTAGATTTTTTAGGAAACAAGCCTCGTAACTTACAGACACGTCCAAAAGAAGCCTTTATGACAGTAAAACTGAAGCACGCCATCTACGACGTCCAAAACATAGCTGTCCAAAAGAGTTTTGACTCGTATTAAATCATTATCGAATCATCACTAGAGATTATATATATATATATCACTGTATACCATACCGTGTTTCTACTCCGATTAATCTTTTTATCGATTGACGAAAATATTCCAAGACCCCAGCTTTTTATCTTTTTTTTTTTATTATTTAATATCCCTTCAATCTCTAATTTTAAATCCACATTGTGTTTTACACACCTTAAACCCTACCGTAAGAGAGAATTGAAAAACTCACAAATCAATAGCTAAACAGAATGTAATGTGTATGCAACTAAATAAATAAACAAATAAAGCTTACAGAGAACATAAAGATCAATCCCTTCAGATCCCCAAACTCCTGGTCGTCGAAAACGGACTCAAACCCGAACCGGGTTTCCGACGGTCCCTCACCGGCAACCGGGCAACCGGCCGAGGAAAACTGCAAGTACAAAATCCCCTGGTCTACGTCGTGATAAAAGCTCAATTTCCTGCTCTGGAGCCACTTACCCATATCCGGGTTGATTTTGTCGGGTTCGAAGCGGAACGGGGTGTCTAAATTACCGGAGCCGAAGACTCTGGAATCGATGATTTTATTCATGAGGTGGGCCACGTCGTGGTGGCGCTTCCCAATGAATCCGACAACGACGACGCCGTTCTTCGGGGTGGAGTATGGGTCGGCGGGGGGCGGAAGCGGCGGCGGCGGCGGTGGAGGGGGTTGTGGAGGAAGGGGGTGGGAGGGGTTCGGAGGAGGGCGAACAAGCACTCGGATGGAGCGGGAATGGGTTTCCATTGAAATTTACCGGCGTGTTCGCCGGCGGTGTTAAATCTTTGTGTTCAGTTAGCTTTTGGGGGCGGATTTCAATTTTCAATTTTCAATTTCATGCCCCATTAAAGATCCGAATCCGAATTGGTGGAGACACCCCTCAAACCGGGTCTCTTTACATAAAATGGGCCCTGGTCCAGGATCCGAAAGTGGATGTGGATATGATCCGGCCCGAGTCTTATATGAATATTTGAGTCAAGCCCGCTAAAAAACAGTTCAATAAACTTGGACTTGGGCCGATTAAAAAATATGTAATATATAACAAAATGCACTCTACCCCTTATAAATTTCTCATTTCGGCATTTTCTCCCCTATAAATTCAGAAAAGTGATAACCTTTCCTCGAAATATTGATTTGGTGGCACTTTGCCACAAAAGTCAATTTTTGGGAGGCATTTTTTAATAAAAATAACATCTTAAATGGGCAAGGTGCAGAAAAAATAATGTTTTTGAGAGGCAAAGTGAAAAAAAAAAAAAAAAAAACTCAATTCCGGCTAATAATTCATCGGAAATTTGCTGTTGCGATAGTGTACAACAAATATAACATTTCAAAGGGGTAAATAGATGGGCAAATTGCACATCACCCCCTATAAAATTCTAATTTTCACATTTTACCCCCTCTAAATGTTTAAAAGTGAATGCTCCTTCAAAATGTTATACTTATTGCACATTGCCCCGATAGAAAAATTCTGATGAATTATTCATCATAATTGAAGATTTTTATTGCACGTTGCCCCTTTACATGTTATTTTTATTACATGTTGCCCCTTAAAAACATTATTTTTTGCACAATGTCCCTTTGAAATATTTTTTTATTGCACAATGCCCTCCAAAAATTGGCTTATGAGCCAAAGTGCAATCAATAGAATATTTCAAAGGGGAAATATCCATTTTTTAAAATATTTAGAGGGGAATAGTGCGAAACATAGAAACTTATAGGGGGCAAAATGCATTTTGTCCTAAATATAGTATGAAACGACAAAATAAGAGACTGGAAGCACAAAATCCTCCCTTCTAAAAAAAACTCGATCCACTCTCCATCCACTGACTCAGCTCACCTAACCATCTGATCCAAAATCCAATCGGATGCAAGCGGCGCTCGCAATCATGGCCGCACACACAGTTTTCTCCGCCGCCGCTACCACGACGGTCCACCACTCTCTCATCTTCCCTACCATTTCCTCTACTTCCTCACCATCACTCCCACCCCACTCCGCATTTAACGGCGTCGCTCTCAAGGCAAACCTCCGTCCGTTCTTGTCCCTCTCCGCCGCCACCACCCCCAAACCGCTCACCGTCGTCGCCGCCACCAAGAAGGCCGTCGCCGTTCTCAAGGGCACTTCGACTGTTGAAGGAGTTGTCACTCTCACCCAGGAAGACGATGGTCAGCTACTTTTCCCCCATTCAGTCATTTTATCAAACACCTAGACTTCAATTTTTATATGTAGTTTTTTAGTGCGAATTTAAGTCGAGGCTGGATTATTTATGCTGGAAATTTAGTTTCTTTTGCAGCTCAACTTTGTTCCTGATATCGAATTTACAAATTATTGACCCGTATCTCTATAATTGAATGTATATTCATGTACACATGAACATTATGTATACTTGTTTGCTGACAATGTGGTCTTTTCTGCTTTCTTGCTTTTGTTGTCGGTGTTCGTAGGCCCGACTACCGTGAGTGTTCGTATCACTGGACTCACTCCAGGCGAACACGGCTTTCACCTGGTGATTTTTTCTTCTTTAAGTTCACTTGTTTTTTAGCTGATTAAATTGCCTTCTAAGTTATCAATCTAAATGGTTTTGTGTTTCTTTTATTCTTCGTTCTAGCATCAATACGGAGACACCACCAATGGATGTATATCAACAGGTTCGGACTTCACTGTGTTTTAAAATCTCCGCAAGCAGATATGCTTTTCGAATTCTCAGATTTTCGATACGTTAAATGTAAATGCTTTTTGTTGCTAATTAATTAATAGGACCGCATTTTAATCCAAATGGTTTGACACACGGAGCTCCTGAAGACGAAATTCGTCACGCGGGTGACCTGGGAAACATAGTAGCAAATGCCGAGGGTATATTCTTGGCATATTTTCTCTGTCTTTTATTTCGTTATATTAAGCTTTTCTCACATTTTACACTTAACGGAGCGCAATGTGATTGATATAGGTGTTGCTGAAGCTACAGTAGTGGACAGTCAGGTAGTGCTCTCTATACGTGCTTCACTGTTTGTCTTCAGCCGTATTTTTTTTAGTTTTTTTGTTCGGATGTTATATATAATTTAATAAAAAAACGTGCAGATACCATTGAGTGGTCCTGATTCCGTTGTTGGAAGAGCTTTTGTCGTGCATGAACTTGCGGATGATCTTGGAAAGGGTAAAAATTCTAGTTTATCAATGATGCACACGTGTGCTTCTCAGTATTTCTATGCAATGGTCTTTTGATTGGCTTTACATTTACAATAATGCCCCTCGCTTCGTTTCACGTGCAGGTGGTCACGAACTCAGTCTTACTACCGGCAATGCTGGCGGGCGTTTGGCATGTGGTATGAATCTTTCTGTTCTCATTTTACTCGTTCGTTGTTTCACCACCTCTATGCATTAGTAGTTTCATTCTTATTCTTTTAGACAATAATCATGCGAAATTATTGCTCTCTTACCAGAACTAAATCTTCATTTGTCGTTATTGGTGTTGCTAATTTCGTAAAATCAAATGCATGTGTTAGAATAAAAAAATTAAGATAGAATTGATGGTTGAAACTAAGATGAAATAGAACTAGTCGGAAGTCGGAACTTGAAAGCAATAGCAAATAAAGTTCAATCTATGTGTGAAAAAGCCTACGACTTCTGATTTAACCATAACCATATTTATTCGGTTATTCCCATAATTTCCATAGAAAAATTAGACATGTACTCGGTTATTTTTATGGTCAACGTTTTCTAGAATGTTCCTATTATTCTGACATCGATGAATCTTTATTTATTTGCTATGTGCAGGTGTTGTTGGTTTGACTCCCCTGTAATTGTAGCTCCTTAAGAGAGGCTTCTTATATAAGATGGAAGCTAAGTTTTTACATTGTATTAGATAAGGGCTGTTTTGGTATTGCGTACCAATAATTTTAAGGATGTATGAGCACTCTGTCAAAGGTGTCAGATTCAACCTTTCACTCTACCTTAAAAAAATTGTAAGTGTTCTTTTATTTTATTTATTACAATATGAGTTTATTTGAATTTATAAAGGGTGTTATTTTTATTTTTTTATAATATTATTATTAGAAAAACGAATATTCTGATTTGAAATTATTATATATATAAATATTTCACCGGCAAAGTTTGCATCGACCGCCGAAAATAAAATATTTCGACGTTGAACTGTTGCAACAGCCTACGTTCCTAACGTGCTTCACACTACTAAACAAAATTAAAAGAATTGTTGCATTTGATTATAGTGTGTCCATTTATTATGGAACAATTAACATAACAACTAAAATGGGATTCTAGTGACAGATTATTGAAAAGAATTTGATCAATTCTTTATCCAATTTAAAATGTATATTCTCTAATGGGTCAAATCTATATAACACTAAGTACTATTTTCCATGACTTAATATTATTAGATATCGTTTGATTGGTATGATAAGATTTATCAAGATAAAATTAAATAATCTAATGAAAATTCAATTATGTCTCGTTATGATAACATAATATTTATAGGCCGATCCGACAAGTTATTTTAGCCGGATCAAACATCAAATAAAGTCCAAGTATTTAGTTAATTATGGTTAACCCCTACCAAACGAGGCCTTGCGACCTCATCAAACAAGAAAACCAACAAATAAGTCATTTATTAATCAAGTCTTCTCGAGTAATTAAACTTGGAACAAAGAAAAATTCATACTTGTATCAAAGCAAGTGGCAGTTAAGAACTAAAAGTCATAGAATTGATGTTGATTTGTCATAATTCAAAACTAACTCTCCCAAGTATGACAGTACCACATGAATTAAGTAACAATAATATTAAATTGATTGAGGGAGAGTGATAAGTGATAACACATAAGAAATAGTCACAGCTGAAAAGTTGTGAAAGTGTCCAATTTGACAATTACTGGCACGGTCCACACACTACACACACACTAAAAAGTGAAGAAATTGCAATTCATATATATATGTATGAACAAAAATAGTTCAATTTCTCATGTAGTCTAAAAAAGTGTAAAAAGAGTAGATGAAGAGAATGAGGTGGGGCATGGCTTTAACGTGCAATCCTCCTTTCTTTTTAGTTTTGATCTGTGTGTTTTTATTTCACGATCGTGACTTTCGCTGGCAAATATATATATTTATATTTATATATATGTGTGTGAGAAATTAAAGATAGTGCTTAACCAACTTCATACATATATTACCACCTAGCTCCAAGCCTCCAACCAACCCTTCATATTTTTCTTTCTTTTTTCATTCTAATTAATACTTCTATTTAATTTATATATATATATCTTAAACTTTGATTTAACTGAAAGGCCACTTTTATACATACTCCAATTAGGAGGACTCTTTGGTTAGAAATTATAAGTTTTTATTGACTAAATAGTATGTCTAATAACACGTGTAGTCGACAAGTACGTGAAGACCTGAAAAATCAATTACAAAAGTAGATGAGATGTAGTGGGAAATGACAATTTTATATAAACTAACCCGTTATGTCGATTTTTTTTAACCTACACACTCGTGTAATAGTGATCGCTCGAACGTGGATTAATTGACACTGGCTCATGACTTGTTCCAACCACTAGGCTCACAAGATCCAACTAGCGACGTCGTATTTCTGATTATAGAGACCAGAATGGTGACATTGAAATTACCTAATAATTTTTTAACTAACAATTACCAATGAAAATACCAAAATGCCAGGAAACTCGGTGGTTACCAGGTATTTGAAGGAAGGTAACTGTTCACGAGGGCTGCTTCTTACTCCACACAGTCGTCTTACTCTCTTACACATACATACATACATCACTCCCATTTATATATATATATATATATATATATATATATATATATATATATATATATATATATATATATATATAGTCACTTTAATATAGTATATATACTCATTATATCCCATTCAAAGTTTCTTACATCACTCTTTTCTTCACATTCTTACACTTTCCACACTCTACTGCAACTGTTCTTTTTAATTAATTTTCTTGAGAAGACGATCGATGAATATGGAAATCTCGGAAGATTTTTCTGGGTGTACAAACGTCCATCAAATTATAGTTAAAGGGAAGCGTGCCAAGCGGCCGCGGCCCTCCTCCTCCGCATCATCAGCCGCCGCCGCCGGCGAGTTTATAAATAACAGTAATTCATTGGTTTCATCTCCGGCTACTTCGTCTAGTGTAATATCCACCAGCACTGAAGAAGACGAGGACATGGCCAACTGTTTGATCCTTCTTGCTCAGGGCGGCGGCGGCGGCGGCACCGAGGGAAAGTTCAGCAGCCGGAGATTCCCGGAAATGACGGCGGCCACGGCGGCGGAAGGGAAAGTTGGCGTCTACGTTTACGAGTGCAAGACTTGCAGCAGAACATTCCCTTCGTTTCAAGCGTTGGGTGGCCACCGCGCAAGCCACAAGAAACCCAAACCCTCCGCCGCCGCCGCAGACGTTGATCGGAAAAGGCCACCACCACCGGCGGCGGCGCCGATTGATCAAACAGCGGAATATGCTCCGGCGGCACCTTCAACGCAGTTTCCGAAAACTCACGAGTGCTCTATATGCGGGTCGGAGTTTGCGTCGGGGCAAGCATTGGGCGGCCATATGAGAAGACACCGGTCTGCTGCAACTAACACCAACACGACGTCGTCTGATATTATTGATGCCGGAGAAAAGACCAGAAACATGTTGGAGTTGGATCTCAACCTGCCGGCGCCGCCGGAAGATGACCGCCGGGAAATGAAGTTCCACCGGTTCACACCCAACAAGCAGCCGCGTCTTGTCTTCTCCACGGCGGCGCTGGTGGATTGCCACTACTAATTAATTAAGCGATAAGGGTTGACAAAGATTCATAATTGATCAAATGTTAATAATTATTTGGTTAATTTTACTACATTTTTTTTATTGTTACAATTAAAAATATATATATAAGTGTCATAATTCATTCTTATATTTTGTTATATATTTAAATTATTTGAAATACAGCCAAAAATTGAATGGCTTATGATGTAAGATTGAGTTGAATTGTTTGAGTGATCAAGTGGTTACTATTCGTGGTTGCCTTCCATTCACGAAAAGTGAGTGATGGACTCTACTTTTTTTTTTTCCTTTATAAATAGCTAGTGTGTAGTAACTCGCAAACTACACGAAAAATGTAAATTGTACTGAAAAATTACATACAATGTGCTTAATTTAAAAGAAATTGGCAAAAAAAATCGAAATCGAGTCAATCCATGCATTGCACTCTCGTTACTCTTATCCATTTTATCATCTTAGTCGTGCAATCCATGTATTGCACCCCTGTTGGAGCAAGTGAATCTGTGTCAATTGACTAATATTTGAATCACATCGTCAACGGTCACTAGGTAGAGTTTGTTAACGTGGTTTACGTATCTCGCATGATTTGCAAACTATTAGTTTACTGCAGATTCCTTTATTACGGAAAAAATAAAGAAATTTAAGAAATTATGTCACCTTATACATATATTAGTATTAATTCATGTTATGTTGTGTTGAGTGGGAGTGGTGTGTGTAACACTCCAAAGTGAGTGGGTGTAGTGTGTGTGTGAGAGAGAGAGAGAGTATGAGTATGGCTAGGGTTAGGCATAACCAGCACCACAACTCACTACAACTGGATTAGGTTCCCATTTAATTTTTATTTATTTATTTATTATATTGCAATAAAGCTCAATATATAAAAATTTGTTTGGGTATTATCTGTTACATTAAATGACAAATAATTAATGGGATAGGAAAGATGGGTTTGTAACTGCCTATCTCCCATGTGTATCCATCCACCTGTTTTTATTTTATTTATTTATTTATTTAATTAATTTCCTGTGAATTAAATTAATTAATCCTCTCCCTTAAATTATACTCTTTTTGACATTGTTTCTTGCTTTTGTTCGTTCACCTATTTCACTTATATCCAATTCACACCTAACTATTCAGCTTTTTTTTTTTTTTTTTTTTTAGGAGAAAGTTAAGATATTATTAGGCACTATCGGCCAAAAAAGTGGGAAGAATAGATCCTTCCATGGAGTCCAAATTCGAAGACGCGGCTAAACGATGAGCGAGGCAATTGCCTTGTCTCTTAACAAAAGAGAATGAGCAAAACAAAAAACTACTAAAATAAGAAAGACATTCATCGACGATCGCCCCATATGACCGTAGAGTCGGTTCTCGTTTCTGTAGAACATCTATCACTGGCCAACAATCACTTTCCACGGTGATAGCACCCCAGCGCTGAACCTTAGCTGTGCGGAGAGCTTGGAGAATTGCTTGAGCCTCTCCATCCGATGGACACACCCTGCCTAACACACGTCGGACTTGCCACCAAACACATGTTCCTGTATCATCTCGAGCTATTAAGGAGACCCGATAAAATTCCGAGTTTGGGGGGAAGGCTGCGTCCACATTAAGCTTAAGGACTCCTACAGGCGGAGGCATCCATTTATCCGAGAATTCCGACTGTCGAATGTTAATATTTTGGAATTGGGCATCGCCATACGTCTGAAGATATGCTGCACACCATCCAACTACGTCCTCCATTTTGATAAATTCTTCGTTATGATTAATCTTATTCCTACGCTCCCACAATTTCCAACACACGACAGCAGCAAGAAGCAATTTATCGTTATCCAATTCTCGTTTAAGAGTATCAAACCAATTCCAAAAAAGCATATTGTCGCTGATTGGGTTAATATGGAAGGGTGCGCTCTCCCACACGTGATTGGCGCCCATGCAGCCTGCCACGACGTGGATAGTAGATTCCAATTTATTTCCACAGGATCTGCAAAAAGGAGATGAGGCAATTTTCCGCCGATAAAGTTCCAAATTTGTTGGAAGGGAGTTAGAGCATGCGCGCCACAAGAAAACCTTAATTTTTGGCGGGATTTGAAGATGCCAAAGATGTTTCCAATTGCCAGTTGGTAAACCACTCGAGGGTCCATTGGCCGACATCCGGCTCGACTCCAAGATCGCATGATAACAAGATCGTACCGTGAACAACCCCGATGATGAATGAGACCACACAATCTTGTCCCTGGTAGAAACCCCTCCAATCGGGACCGTTAAGATACAGTGACGGTCGACGGGCCAAAAAAAAGAATTAATAACTTGCAGATTCCATTCTCCTGTTTGTTGATCAATCAGGTCGGCTACGGTGTTAGGAAAGATAGAGTGTATAGGCCTTCGCGAAAGGATTTTCGGACGGCCCTCTCCAACGAGCCACGGGTCACTCCAAATCGAAGTTGTTTTACCATCTCCGATTCTGATTCGGATGCCTTCGCTGAGATTGGTGCGGGCTGTGATAATGCTTTTCCACGTCGCAGATGACCGATTGCCAACACTAGCGTTCCAGAAGTCACCGTTGGGAAAATAACGGGCTCTCAAAAGACGAGATAGTAACAGATCCGGTTTCGTGGCCACTCTCCATGCTTGCTTAGCCAGAAGTGCAAGATTGAAGCACTTGAGATCTCTAAACCCCATTCCTCCATCAGCTTTCGGTCTGCATAAGTTACTCCACGCCATCCATGCCATGTGTTTGCCAGATCCTGTTCCCCACCAGAACCGTCGTATAAGGGCCTCGATCTCATGTATAAGCTTTTTGGGTAATAGGAAACAAGACATCACATATGAAGGGATAGCCTGCAAGACTGCCTTAATAAGGGTTTCCTTCCCGGCTTTCGAAAGTTTGTTCGAGTTCCATCCCTGGATTCGGTTCCAACAACGATCACGAAGGTAGGAAAAGATTTCTCTCCGTGACTGGCCGAGCTTTGCTGGAAGACCAAGATACCGTTCATGAGAGTCGACAACCTTGAAACCGAGAATGGTGTGGATGGTTTCTTTCTCTGCTTCGGAAGTAGACGGGCAAAAAGCCATAGTAGATTTATCATTGTTTACCACCTGACCCGATGCCTGCTCATATTGAGTGAGGATGTGGTGAATAATCCGTGCATTCTCCTCCGTGGCTTGGCAGAAAATGAGAGTGTCGTCGGCGAAGGACAAGCTCGAAACCACTGGCGCTGAGGGAGCCACTTTGATACCAGCTAACCGACCTCTTTCGGTTTCTGTCTTGAGCATCGCTATGAGGGCCTCTGTACACAGGATAAAGAGATACGGGGATAGGGGGTCGCCTTGACGAAGGCCTCGGGAGGGGGAGAGCAAGCCACACTGTGTGCCATTGAATAAAAACGAGTAAGAAACAGACGTAACACAGAGCATAATCAACTCAACCAACGAAATAGGAAAACCAAATTTAACCAGAATGCACCGAAGAAAGCACCATTCAATTCGATCGTAAGCTTTACTAATATCTAATTTTAATGCCATAAACTTAGACCGAGTTCTTGAGTTCGTTCTAATAAAGTGATTGATTTCGTACGCAACCAACACATTGTCGGTTATTAAACGGTTTGGCACAAAGGCTGACTGGGTTGGAGAGATAATGTTGCTCAACACTTGTTTAATACGATTAGAGATGGTTTTAGATCCAAATTTATATATGACATTACACAAGCTTATAGGCCTATACTCTGTCATATTTTCGGGACTATTTATTTTAGGGATCATGACAATGAAAGTATGGTTAATCTTAGCAGGTAAGGTACGAGTATTTAAAAAAGCGAGAACACAATCAAGAACGCTAGTGCCAAGAATGTGCCAATATTTTGTGTAGAACAAGACCGGAAAACCATCTGGGCCGGGGGATTTAGAGGGAGACATGTGGGAGATGGCTCGGGTTACCTCATCGGCAGTGAAAGGAAGAGAAAGGAGCTGAGAAGCAACACCAGTGATTCGTGGCTCAATATGACCCAACACTTCCTCCATCACTCTCTCGTCCGGGTTTGTCGACGTAAAAAGCTCTTTAAAGTATTTCGAAATAACCTGCTCAATCTCCACCTTATCCTCCCGCCAAATGCCATCCTTATCTCTAATCTTATGAACCCAATTCTTACGTTTACGATTCGACGCTTTGTTATGGAAGAATGAGGTATTTCGGTCACCCTCTCGGATCCATTGGATCCGACTTCTTTGCCTCCAGTAACAGTCAAGGTCACCGTATGCCCTTTCGAGCTCCACCCGGAGCTCTTGTTGCCGACGGATCACTTCTTCAGATTGTGTGGCAGCTGCCAATTCGCTCAATGAATTGTGTATATCATCAATTCGTTTTTTGGGCTGATGGTAGACTGTTCTACTCCAATAACGCAACGCCCGCCGACATCCATTGGAGTTATTGATAATGGTACTGTAGGGGTCTGATGCTTGCTGCCCTTCCCAATGATTCTTAATAATGTCTTCGCAATCCTCTCGCCTCGTCCACATCGCCTCGAAACGGAATGGTCTACCACGTGAGCCACTCGTGAACACATCTTCCCTCAGAGTATTGAGGAAAAGCGGAATATGATCCGATCCCGCGAATTTTAAGTGTTGAACTAAAGCTTCTGGAAAGAGGTCCATCCATCCATTCGTGGCACACGCTCTATCAAGACGGCATCTCACAGTGCCCGGTTCCTCACGCTTGTTGGTCCAGGTGAACGGCGCTCCATTGAACCCCAAGTCCGTAAGTCCACACTCGTCAAGAGTTTCTCGGAAGGCTGCAATTTGGCCTGGTGGTTTCACGGCTCCACCCTGCTTTTCCGAGTTATCGAGAATCTCATTAAAATCTCCTCCCACTAGCCAAGGTAAATTACTGTGGGATTGGAGGGAACGCAACAATTGCCATGTGACCGATCTCCGAGATGGTTCCGGGCATCCATAGAACCCGGTAAATCTCCATTTTGCGCTGTCGGTATTTTCCATAATTTCAACGTCGATGTGATTCTGAGAGAAGCTGAGAAGGTCAACCTGGATATCCTTTTGCCAAAACAGAGCTAGTCCACCCGCTCTACCAACTCTATCCACCGCCAATCCAAACAGATTCCATTTATTCATGAGCTTGTTTACAAGTGCCGATGTCGCCTTTGTCTCCGAAAGGAACACCAACTTGGGGCAATATCGTCGAAGGATGTCTCCGACCGTGTGAATTGTCAAGGGTGCCCCCAACCCTTGACAATTCCAAAGTAAGCAATTCATGAGGATCGGCGCGTCTGCCCTGCAGACGTCGCCGTTGAATTAAAATCGTCGTCCCGTAAGGACAGTTGTTGTCTTTTACCCTCTCGACCATGGCTCATATCTGCCAATTCCTCTACTCTTTTCTTCTTGTTAGCCGCCGAAATCCTCAAATTCTTGCGTGGTGCTGAAGGGTGTTCCATGGCCGAAACCACCTGGATCGGATTATTCACCAAGGCTAAATCACTGTAAGGTGGGCCGCTCGTGTTCTCGTGACCATCATGGGCAGCTGGCGTGCCTCCTACCCCATTCGTCGTGGCACTGAATTCGAAAATGCCCAGGCCCTTCGACGCAACCCTTCCTCCACCAATGTTCTGTTTGCTGACCAAATTAATGGGTTGTAAAGGTATCCTCGAATCGGCTCCCCCGAATTGAGCGGGTGCCTTCAACCACGAGCCATACGGGAGGTTCTCTCCGGGGTCCACAAAATTCTCTTCGTACCGGAGTGGGCATCTTGCCTCTCCGTGCCCTAAGATTCCGCAGAGGAAACAAAAATTTGGAAGCCTCTCGTATTTGAACTCGATCCATGTGCTGGTGCCCTGGCAGGAGTGGAGATAGGTTCCCCGATGGAGGCGCTTGGAGACGTCTAGGGCTACTTTAACCCTAATGAATTCGTGCACATGCATCTGTTTTACGTTGAGGATTTGGCCAAACACTCCAATCTTGTTTGCAATCTGCGATGCCACTTCGACTGTTTTCTGACCAGCGGGAATATGGTACAGACGGACAACGATGTGCATAGTGTTAACCTCAACGTTCATCGGATTTTCAGATCCCGTTAGTTCATGGAAAAGAAGAGCATGTCGATCCAAAATCCACGGACAACCTTCAAGAGCGTGTTTTTTGTCCAGTCGATGATTGAAGTGCAGCAAGATCCGGTTAGGGCTCAGTGACTGAATCTCGCAGCCCTTCACCGGCGCAATCAACCGGATAACATTAGATCGGATGGTGTGAAACGAGATTTCCTTATCAGAGACCACCCTTCCCACTACGGTATTATTAATCTCATAAGCCCTTGCCTCATTCACTGGTACGTCGATTAGGACTCCTTCCTCCTCTTCCACGGTGAGGGTAATTTTCTTAGCCAGCGATTCTGTCAAGCTATCCATAGGGGGAGAGAGAGTGGTGGGTTGTGCGGATCAGAGAGAGCCAGCTATCTACGGTGTTCCTTAAGAATAAGATCTGGGGAAAGAAGATAAAGTGTTGAGCAAGAATTAGGGTTAGGGTAAAATACACACAAAGCGAGAGATAAAATACGAAAAAACGCCCCAACTTAAAACAAAAGAGAAAAATCGAAAAACTCAGCCCTAAGTTTATCACATAAAGGTAAATACAAAGTAAAGCCGACGATCGAAAATCATGAAAGCATGACACCGGAGCAATCCGATAAGCAGATCCCAAATTGATATGTGCCTCTCACAGGGAGAGAAAAATGGCCTCTCACTGGGAGAGAAAAAAAAAATCCCACTTAAATTTTAGCAAATACAAATCTAGACGTAAAGGATCCAATCTAAATATTTCATTCTTTTCAATAATTAGAATACTAATTTAATCTGTTAGTGGTCTAACATATTTTCACCCACCTAACTATTCAGCTTACTAATTACTAATTTCCAACTATTCAGCTTACTAATTACTAATTTCCAACTAATCATAATAATAAAATAATAGTTATTATTAATTTATCAATTGTTTTTTAAATATACCAGTTCAAAATAATCTGTATTTGAAGGGGTGGGGTGGGGTGGGGTGGGGTAGGGGTTAATGGTGTTTTAGTGGTTATTATTAAAGGGCATATGCATGTAGACACATTGCGTGGGATGTCTAAATACAAAGAATAATTAATTAATTAATTAAATATGAAGGAGAGATTAAGGGATTTGTTCAAATTGGGCACATGTAGTTGGGGGTACTTATGCTACTCTGTCAAACAATATTTAATTAAACTCTTTATTTGCTTTTTTTAATTATGTTTTAATATACCAAATTCCCCTCCATTATTAAAAAAAATAAAAAATAAATAAATAAAAATTGAACGTGACCAAGACTTTGTTATCAATCTAGCTATTTGCCTAACTTTCAAGTAAGTGTAGCCGTTGTCCCTAATATAGTGCCTTTATATATATATATAATTTTGTAGATACTGCATTCCGTGACATATATTAATATTAATTTTAGATGATTAATTAGCAGTGTACCACACAATTGCACATTCAATTTTAGGTACCTATTTATTGAGATCAATTATGGTACTTTGACTAATGACACTACTAGAAAAAATGTATTTAGCAATAGTATTTAGCCAAATATCCCACTTTAATTTCTTATAGTTATGCACATAATGAAATATGAGTGTAATTCGATCTCTTTTGCTTGCAATGTACGTTAGGGAATAACAAAATTTTATTAATTTAACTAAATATTAAATTATTGAATTAATAATTTAACGCATTATCACCGAGTGGAACATAATTATAACAAAATTCTGTTAATATGTGGCATGTGGCGCCACCACATCGACAACTAAGCCTAAAAAGTTCTTTGAAGTGGTGCCTCTCATGAGTTGACACGTGGTTGGCCTCAATCTTCACAACATGCTTAATTTGTAGTTTTGAGAAAATTGTAATTTTGGTTCTATATATTAGTCTCTTTAGGATTTAGTCCTATAAGTTGTCTTATTTCAATTTTACATGTAATAATTTTGCTAAATTAATATTTTTTGCCATATTTCACTCGAATTTTGAATTTTAGCCGTCGTTTAATGATGTACCTAACAAACTCACATAAATTTATTTGTATGGACACTTAAAAGTTATAAATGCTCATCTAATTTGGTCTATAGATGTGTCGTCTCACATAATTAAAGTGCTACTAATGGTAGATTAGATGTCGAAATTATCAATTTCCAAACGTCCACATAAATAAAATGCGTCAAGTTTATTCGTCGCGTCATAAAATTAAAAATCATGCAAAATAGGACTAAAAATACTATATTTGCAAAGTTATTGCATGTAAAACTAAAACATGACAAGTTAGAGGACTAAAATCCTAATAGGCCAACATAGAGGACCAAAACTACAAATTTTCCCTTGTAGCGTGTGCCCTTTATTCATGTACCATTTTATAAGTGATTAAAAACCCAAACAATGTCACATTGTACTAACTGTAATTTAAAAATAAATAATATAGGCAACACATGGACATAATTACTCATGCAAAACAATTGCAGTAAGATAATTGCAGCCTGTAATAGAGTTATTCAAATAATTAATCTTCTACTTATAAAATAAGGGTAAATTACTTGACACCCCCAAGGAAATGTCAAATTACAAAAAATCCCCTCATGTTTGAAAAATTACAACCACCATTCAATTGTAAATCTTGTTATACGTTCACCCTTATAGTGTTAAATTCAACGTCGAAGATGGACGAGCAAGAAGTTTCATAGTTAAGGAGTTGGTTGTAATTACCCAAACATGAGGGGTCGTTTCATAATTTAACATTACTTCAATGTTGGCCATAATTTACCCTATGGCATTTCAATTTTTTTTTTTAAAGTACAAGCTGCAACTATGGCATTAATATATAGATAGATCCATAATGAAATTGGAATTAGTAAGTAGATACACTAAGATATGGATGAAATAAACAAATCTAAATATTTTTAGTTGACTTATAACATTAAATATTTCAATATTAAATGAATTTTTCTCTAATTCAAAAATTCCGAAAACAATCATTTGTTGCAGTAGAATATGCAATTAACATCAATCAAATATTGCAAGTTGCTTAACAACTCTGGAAAAAAAGATTGTTACAATTAACTACTAAATACAAACAAAGTTACAGAATACATTACGTCGAAAAAAACTTACCGATCTCGGCATTCCCGCGGTTCAAAATCGACATTTTTTTGGTTGATAAAATCCTACATACAAAAAATGAAAATAAAAATAAATACAGAAATCTTGAGTATTTACCGAATTTTGAAATAAACAGAAAAGCAAGCTTCAATTGTGAAAAATGAAGTAAAAATATCGCACTAATTGTATATCAAAAGGAATCTTTAGTTGTTGCTTGTATATAATTTTGAACCGAAATCGAAAACCGAACTGCAACTCAAACAAAAAGGGAATCTTCAAGTGTACAACCACAAAGAAAATTCGGCCCACATCAAATTCGTTTTGCGTTCGACATTTAAAGTGATAATAAGTTAAAAATTTAATGGATGAAAAACAAATTAAAACCTATTAATTGACCAAGTACGATAAGAAAAAAAATAAATAAATTAGTTCATAAGAATGAGACACTGAAACATAACATATATAATATGCTAATTTGCAAATTAATGTTTAGAAGAAACCGATACAAATACTAACTTTCTCGAAAGTGCTTTAAATTTTCTAATTTATCACATTTTACTCGAACGAGAAATCAAACACACACCTGAAAAAAATCGACACAATAGACGAATTTTCACCTTCGTTGAGTTTCTCTAGAAAGTTCCGTTTGTCCTCAGTTAGCAAAAACCGTCACCCTTACACGAGCAGTAACATCAGGGTGGAGCTTTAGCTCCGCAATATATTCCCCCGTTTCTCTAATCTCCGGTAGAGAAACAATTCTTTTGTCCACATCCCTATAAAAAAAATTTAAACACGAAAAATTATTTTATTTGTCGAGTTCGTTTTCGATATTTCACTTAAAAAAATAACGTGTGCTTAGGGTGTAAGCCTGAATTAGGAACGGTACCTTTGAAGCTGGGCTTTGATTATGTCCACGAGATCTTGAGCAGTGACACTGTTGTTATACATTATAGTTATACATCAATAACCGATCAAGAAAAATTAAAATATTATTATTTGTATTATTTAAATTACCTTCCGAAAATTTGTTTTCCTTTGCCACCTTTGCGCTTCACCTTGAAAGCTCCGACCGTCTCGAAAATTTGAGCGAGCTGAAGCGCCTCGTCTTTCACCTAAATATCGTATAATCATATAAAAAAATAATATTAAAGTGAGAGAAATCATAATTACAAATTATTTCGGCGATAAATAACGAAATATCGACACGGTTTAAAGAAGATGAACGGATTCATTACTCGTTTTTTCTCAGCCTCGATTCTGTCGTCTTCCAGCTTCATTTCCCTGAAGAGGAATCACAAATCAGTATTATAAGAGAACGGCATTCGCGAATTCGCTATTGAACTCTAACTATAATAAAATCGTAAAAAATCACGAATCGTGAAGGTGACCCCGTAAATCGTATAACAATTCGAATACGTCGAATCAATTAATCAAGTCCTAAAACTAATGTAAAAAAACCTTTAAGTTGGTGTTAACCATAACCCCTTCGTTTTCGACCGAGAAAACGCATTCGTGAATTAGAGATGATGATCATAAGGTACATTCCCATTGTGGTTAGCAAATCGAACACTACAAAATAAAATAAATAAATAAACCAATGAAATATGAATTTGGAAATAATAATTACTTGATAAGTCCAGGAGTGACAATTTGAGCCATGCCCATGGGAAGAAGATAATTACGAAAATACCCCGCTTTCACATCCAGCAGCTGCCCTTTCTTCCCCAGTAAATTCACATCCTCCTTCAATATAATCTTAAAATCGAACAAAAAAATAAATTCAGAATTAAAATTAGAAAAATAAAAAAAAATACAAAACAAGAGAGCCCATTTCGTGTGAAGAAGAAATCGAGGCACCTTGCGAACTTTCTTGGCTTTCTTTTGAGCGACGACCGTCAAAATCGAGGTTCGGTCGGAGAGTTTAGAGGTGTCTGAATTGATGATGTTCTTCGGCAAAGTGTGGTTTTGAAGGAACGAAGATGAAGCCCATGAGAGACTCGTGGAAGCCATTGAAATTGATTGCCGCAGTGTGCTTTTCTTCTTCTTCTTCTTCTTGCTCGTTACACTGAAATTCTTATCTCTGCAAAATAAATCTTATCCAAGAAAATACGATGGATTGAGGAAAGAGTGAAGCAACGAGGGTGGTCTTACGTTGTTGGGCTCAAATATGTGGGTCAAGAAAATACGGCCCGATAGTTTCTTGATTCAAACTGTTGATAAATTCAACTTGGGTAATTGATATTTGGGCCCAAATATGTTTTTTTTCTATTAAAATTTAAAATAGAGTATTTTTAGGTAATTATTTTGAATTATTTAGTATTTAGTGATATTTTATTATTTAATTTATATGGAGAATTGATAAATACCATTCAAACGATATTAAGGATCGAATGATGGGGCTCAGTTCGGCAGTCGTTTCTCGTACACCATATGGTGGTGAGAGAAGATATTGGGCCAAAAGCCCAAATAAGTTCAAAAGCTTGATGGAAGTTCATAGGCGAGACGAAGTAACGAGTCAATGAAGTACTGGTTCACTTGTGAGTTCGCCAATGTGCTTTGCACAATGTGTGACGGCGAGCTGATACAGAAACCGATGGAAACTAGAGATACATAAGATACATAAGATATTCTGTGTAAAAAGATAAAGAAAGAGTGTAAATATTGCGTGCGGATCACGAAATCAATATCGAATTAGATACGTATATACATAGGTTTTCAGGGTTAAGTTTTACATTTAAGAAACACACAAATGGTGAGATACATTCACTATTTTTCTCTCCAAACCGTCTCTCTTTTGCATGAATATTTTCGATTATTGATCGATTGATCTCGTTGACCCAATATTCCGACGTGGAGTCAATCGCTCGTTCTTATGGAGACGTGTTTGGAAAGGGTTCTTGAGAGTGCCGATTTTTGACACACTAATAAAGTAGTTGAAAGTCTTGGTTTTTTTGAAACAATTGAATGTCTTATCTTATATATAAAAGTAAGAAACGTTAGATCAATCTAAGAAACTCTAATGGTATATTTGTAAAAAAAAACATTTAGTTATATATATATATTTATCTCATATTTCGCAGTCACTTTTTTCTAATTATTTTCACACCAAATTTCGACTAGCATAATCCTAATTCACTACTTCTGTATCTTTTTAACTGTTCCTTTTATTTTTATCCCTTATTTTCCAGCATATTTTCACTAATTTTTCTTTGTTTCATTTATTTAATAATGGATTTTATATTATGAGTATTAAGTTTATATAATTTTTTTTGGAATCAGTTTGTATTATTAAATTTTTATAAATATTGATGTTATTATCAATATCACAAATAAATTTTGTTATAATTGTTATTGTTATATATTAAATCAACCAGTATTTCACATTTAAAATGCTATCCCATGCACGGCACGGGAAAAAAAAATGCTAATTATAATTTATATACAAAAGTAGTATAAAGAGGAAAATGAATTAGCCATTTAATGAATTTTTAATTCCACGTAATTAAAAATTGTTGCTGATTAGGAATATTAATCCAAAATTTTCAAATTACATCCAAATTTCGGATCCGTCCCGCGCGCGGCAAATCTGAAAATATTGAAGTCAATAAATCCCCGCCTAAACTCTCCCGTTTTCATATAGTCCGTTGATTACTACCCGTATCGACGAACACGATTAACGATCCACGACCCTAAATTCTAACCAATCAAAACACGCACCCAACTCCGTAATCTGACCGTCCAAATACCCCCTTGCAGCACAGACTTAATCAACGGTCCAAATCCACAATCCGCGTCAAATCCCACACCCCACCTTCCCCCCCCTCTATTTATTCCCACTCCACCTCCTTCTTCCTCATCATCTCTGCATCTTATCAAGCAAAACATCCCACAAATTCTCAGAAACCCTAATTTTCTCTCTCATCAAATCTCAGTAACAAAAAATGGCAAAGGGAGGAAAGAAGCCGGCGGAGAAGAAGCCAGTGGAGGAGGAGAAAGCAGCGGTGGCGGAAAAGGCCCCAGCGGCGGAGAAGAAGCCAAAGGCCGGGAAGAAGCTCCCGAAGGAGGCCGGCGCAACCCCCGTCGCCGGAGACAAGAAGAAGAAGAGATCGAAGAAGAACGTTGAAACGTACAAGATCTACATCTTCAAAGTTCTGAAGCAGGTCCACCCAGACATCGGAATCTCAAGCAAAGCCATGGGAATCATGAACAGCTTCATCAACGACATCTTCGAGAAATTGGCTCAGGAATCTTCCAGATTGGCCAGGTACAACAAGAAGCCCACGATCACTTCTCGGGAAATTCAGACGGCGGTGAGATTGGTGCTGCCCGGAGAACTTGCGAAGCACGCCGTGTCGGAGGGGACTAAGGCCGTCACTAAATTCACTAGCTCTTAGGGTTTAGAATTTGGGGGTTTTGATTTTTCGTTAATCGGATGAATTTGTTGGCTTTTGTTATGGATTTTTACCTAATGTAGTAATTGGCCTTTTATAAAAGTTTAATGAATCTGTGTTTAGTTTTGGATCTCAAGTTTTTTGTTCTTCAATTTATTATTTATTTATTCCATTTTTTTTTCAGTTTAATATAATTTAATAAATGGTAATATTATACTTTTTTACAAGTATTTATAAATGTTTTCATTAAATTAATTTACTCGGTAAAAATTGTAAAAATACATTACCATTCAAGTTATGATTCTTGGATATACAATCTACAGATCTAGTACACTTGTGATATATATATCTATATATATGAAATAATGTATGTATAAATTAATCGATATCGGCATGTATGTAATCTACGAACACGAAGTTCTTCTGGAGTTCACTAACAGCATAAGCCATTCCAGCGCTTAAAATTGCTCCAGCTCCAATAACTACCCGTATCTGAATATCCGGAGGAATGCCAGCTGTCGCAGCGAAAACAACAGCTGCACCGATGAAAAACTTCTGCAGTGTCTCGAAATTCTTATGCGCATTCCTACACGACGAACACTGCAGAGTGTGCTGCTCGAATCTATCCAACATCTAAATAAAAAAAGATAAAAAAAAAATTAGAAAATTCATTGAGAAGTTTCTAGAAGGTCGTAAATAGGGGAGTTGATTAAATAATTAATGATTTAATGACCACCTGGCGTTTGGATAATATGGTCGAGGGTAATGTTTGCAGGTCAGGGGTACCGAACCATTGAGGCTGGTTATTACCGTGGCGCCTCAGCCAGTTCCTAAATGCTAATACGAAGCGGTCGGCTTGAGTGGGCGTAAATGTAATTTTGGTGTATTGCTCGTTGACGTTTGTGGAACCTTCCGTTGACTGTGAAAGGAAGACTTTCTCTTGGCCTTGTAGTACTATCATATCTCCGTCGTATACTTTGTTTGAAGTCCAATGCTCGTTCCATCGAGGAACCACCTATTGCCAAATCAAAACATATGTAACATCGTAACTCAAATGGAAATCGAATATTAATTAAAAAAAATAATAATAAAACTAAATGAGAAATAAGTATTACCTGCCACCATGCAGGGCCAGGCATACTGAACTGGAAGAAGTTTCGAGCACTACAAACGATCGAGCGTGTTTTTCCAGGCGCCATCGGAACATTGAACGAACAAATCCAAATCACCCATTTTTGTTCACCCACAACTGGAAGCTTCGTGTCAATTTCGATTCTGAAAAACATACCAAAAAACAAAGGCATAATGAAATCAAGACTCACGATAAATAAATAATACGACTACAAAAACCGGGAGCAAGCAATTTCATAACACTAAATTAAAGAAAAGACGTACTTATTGATATAGTAGCACGGTGCGACAAATTTAGCACTGATTTTAGGACTGCCTTCATTTGCACCGGCAAAACCCCATGCGCCATTTGATTCCATTTTAAACGGTAAGGGCTTCGCTCTATCTCTTCTGCCAGTAACCTGTTATTTGGTTACTAAGATAAGATTAAATAATATATTTACGTCTCGTTTGGTTACTAAGATAAGATTAGACAAGACAAGATTAAATAATCTAATGAAAAAACCCAATCGTATTATTGGACCATATATCCGAGGTCCAATAAATAAGGGTCCAATAAATAAGGTAAAAGGTCATAAATTAATATTTCCGGGTCGATCCAAACATCAAATAATGTCTAATTATTCAACTAAACATGGCTAATCTCCCGAATAATTGAATTAAACGAAGGCCTTAAAATTTTATAGAGCTTTAAACGAATTGCCAAGAACGGTCAAACAGATTCTTGAGTGATCTATATGAACATATGTCCTAATACATTTAGAAGTTAATACTATTTGTCGAGTTAATTCGTGCCGATTTAATCAAAACGTACCTTGTGGTGTGCGAAATCAATGTGAGAAGGATCAGACACATTCTCCATGAGAGTATCGTACCCATAATACAGATCACGTTGAATCGTCACCGACGAAAATTCAGGCGTATCGAAATCATCCGGCAACCTACACACAACATCCCGTAAAACAAACGAAAAGCTAATTATTCTAACACCAACCGAAAAAAAAAAACTACTTAAACAAAACTAAAACTCAATTAAATAATCAAGAAAGAATTAATTAATTTAAGAGTTCTTTACATAGGAGGGCTAGTTGCTTGAGCTCTTTCCCAGCCATTCTCATCTGGCCAAACAAAGAGAAGACCCTGAGAAACCATGGTAGGAAACCTAGTTGCACACGCCCTAGGAGAGTTATCCGCACGCGCCTCCGGCCCAGCTGATGCTGCTTGAGGGATCCGTGTACACGACCCGGATCCGTCGAAAGACCACCCGTGATACGAACACTGCAAGTGCCCGTTCTCATCTATTCTCCCTTCCTACAAACAACATAATTTTTTATCGAAGAAAAAAAAATCAATATCGAGAAGTGTGAATTGAAGAAGAGCGAGAAATTACTGATAAGGGGGCGAGTCTGTGGGGGCATTTATCATCTAGGGCAACCCATTGTGAAGTCGGATTCTGTCGAACCAGAGAACGAGATCTCGATTGAGGAGCTGAAATGGAGTCGGGTAAAGCGGGTCGAGATCTTCTATTAGGGAAACGGGGTACCAGTGATCTCTCCATGAGAATTTCGAAGAAGATTGTTCGTCGGAATCTTCGGGGTCGATTGATTTTTGTTGATCTTCTTCGGAAATGGCGGTGGTGGTATTGGATGGTGGAGCAGCAACGCGGAGTGGTTTATTCAAAAGTTTTCTCCTTTTCTGTGAAGGAATTTTGCGAGGTAGAAGGGGAAATTGGGGCGGAAAACTACCGCCTCCGGCGGCGGCGGCGGCGGTGGTGGTGGTGGTGGTGGTGGAGGTGAATATAGGTGTGGATGATGCTAGTGAAACAACAATCATGGTTTTGGGTAATATTTTGAAGAAATTGTTAATCCAGCTAAAATAATTTAGGGTTTGAAAATGTTCAGTGTGGAATTGGGGAAGAAGGGTTTGCGTGCAAGGTTGAAATTGTTTAGTTTCTGGAACTATCTGCCATTATTCATGGCAAAACCGAAATTTGAGACTGGAAATTCAAAGTGATTAAACAGTGATGGGAGATAGAGATCTTTTTCATTTTATTTTATTTTTATTTTTATTTTTGTTTTTCTTTAGAAGAAAATATAGGCCACGAAATAATATAAAAGTTTTACACACGTGCCAAATTCCAATATACTTTGGAAAGTGTTTGAGAAGCCCATTAAGAAAATAGAAGAACAAATTGGAAGTATGAAAGTACTCTTTCGATTTCGGTTTCGGTTTCGATTTCGAAGAATAGGCCTAATGGTAATATAATTAGTGGAGCAAGTAGTTCAGAATTAATTACTCGAGTTTACAGTTTTGTCAATATGGTGGGAAATTAAATGGATCGAATCGAATAAAACCCATGTTGTTAGGAAAAAAAAATCGGATTTATTTGGGAGTGAAAAATATCTTACGAACTTTAGAGCATGGCAATACATTAAATTTGATAATCATATTCATACCACATGCATGAAGATTGAAGAACAACTAATCAAATGTGAAATTTTTATTTAGTTAAAGACACCATCGTTACATCAGAAGAAATAGATTATAATTTATTATTTAGTTATTCAATGAA